GCTAAAAATATGGCCAGAAGGTATATTTTTTATTTTTGTCACCAATATGTAAAACATAATTGCATTTGCACATTTTCAAAGCCCAGTCCAATTACTGTTATTAATTTCGTTTCTGGTTGTTGCTGTATAAATTTTGCCTGTGAATTCAAAATCATGAGTCTTGGACAAAATGATGTTTGCAAATTTAGACAAGTGTTGTCTTAGCGAGACCTTTGTTATTATTATTATTATTATTATTATTATTATTATTATTATTATTATTATTATTATTATAATTATTATTATTATTATTATTATTATCATTATTATTGCCTTTAATAAACTTCACTGACACCTAATGAATTGAATAAAGGCAATATCTTTTACTGACAGAAAAAGTGCATTAATTTAAGACTGGCTTGCTTTCTACTGTTAAGTTACATGTGCAATTTTTTTCTGCTCCTTAAAAATTCATATTTATTCACAATCATGTTTGAAAGTGGTATGAATATGTTATGTTAATCATGTAGTTACCAGCAAAAAGTTGTTGAGAATTTCCATAAAGATATGGTAAAATATGAATAAAACTCACCATCATTATTCTGATAGGCACAAAGTATGTTTACATCTGCTCAATTTCCAAGTTTTTCTTTCAAAGTTATCTGGCTATTCTCTGTCATAAATGAGTTAGTAGAAAAATGCATAGATGATGAAGAAAATGTCTGACTTTCCTTCCACTTGTACCTGAAATGACTGGATTAGATTAGAGAGGTCACATGACTCCTCTTGTTTTTTAACCTCATAGTTGCAGGCATCCATTTGTAATGAGATCAATGTTTATATGGCAATGCTGTTTACATGTGTTTTTCCAGAATTAAAGAAAAAACATTAAGCTAAAACCTTGATAAAAATAAACTAAGTTCATGTTTTCCTCCTATGGTGCTCACACACATTCCATAAAGAAAGTCTGTGATGTTAATGGACAATGAGTTAATGAAGCCATGTTCTAGGGTTTCTAGCCTTTTCCATGCATTTACCAAGATGTTCAAGCTTTTTTCAGTCTGTCAATGGAAAATGTATAGTAGACTTGCAGTTTTCAACACGAAGTTTAGTGTTTGAAAAAATAAAATTTCCATTTTTTTAAAAAAAATTAAGATTTCATATATCTTAATGTCCAATATTTGGCCATAAAAATTACCAGAAAAGTACCAGTTTACATTCTGTTGTTCAGTGAGGACACTTCAATGTAAAACTGTTAGCTGTAGGACTTCCTTCCTTCCTTGCAATATCTCACTCATAAAAAACTTTCTTTGTGAAATATTTTATATTAATTTTTTATGCTCTGAAAATATTTTAAATAATTTATGATAATTATAACTTGAGGTAGCCCAGACCAAGTTATCTGGTATAAAGTGTCCTGTCTGGGCCCAAACTTTAATGACAGACTCTGAATTTGGCTTTGTAATTCCATTTTGAAAATTTCTACAAACTGCTTCCTATATATCATAATTAAAAAGCATATGAACAGTCAGTGTTACTCAAACTAAAAAGTCTGACCACTACCTCCATGCACAATTAATGCTATCTTGTCCTTGGAAGACTGATAGATTATAGTTTTAGCTACCTTGAATACAAAACATACAAATTTATGTTCTGATGAAAAACATGATAAAAAAAGGCAACAAACTTACCATGTATGCAGCAGCAAAATGTGTATGCATGTCTCAAGAAAAACTGACCTCCAGAGATTCAAGTGTTCCTACTTGGTACATGGATCATGCATGCATGAGCTGGATTCTTGTACAGTGCTTTATATACCATAGGTATGTAAATTATATATAAATAAGTAACAATGGAACTACATGCTGCATCTCAAGCATAAATGAAGGTTAGTTCACTGGATCAATAAAAGAGATAATTCAAAATAAATCTGTCAAACAGTCCCCACAGTTTAATCAGACTTTGATATGAACCACAATACATCTATCCAACATTGACTGATGCTAAATTGAGCATTTAATTCATTTAGATTGGTTACCTTGCCTGGCAATTTTGAAAGGCATTTCTCTGTATCAGCCTTTTCATGGTTCAAAAAACCACAGCCAGAGAAATAAATGGCATCCTAATGGCTTTATTGCATCATTCATTTCATTAAATTTTCTTTTATGAACAATAAGATTATAATCCTGTCTAATACTTTTTGCAATCTGAATCTGACATTTTCAAAATCTAAGAATTTTGTGAACCACAATAATATCAAAGAACTAATGATATAACTTGGTGGTCAAAGTTTATACCTCTACTTAACTTTTACGATATTTACGAAAAAGGATGAACTGTGTGAAACACTTAAAGAGTAGGTAACAATGACCTTTTTCTGTGTTAAGAATCAATGTAGCTACATCATGATCATAACTAAAAGAACTGATGGCTTTTGTTTATTGTTGGCCTTAAAAATAATTAATAAGGAATATTAAGCTGCCTACAATATTTGGTCGGAGTCCAATAATAATTATGCAATTTACAGAATGGATGTCTGACAATTGAGGATTACAACTCCACTAAATTATGAAGAATGCTGACAAAGTCATCTACAGCCTCATAAATTAAAAAAAAAAATCAACTTGATTACCAAATTTGGTCAAATCTAATAATTATGGAAATTATTTTAAGGAAACAAAAGTGGGTAGGACTGACAGCTCTACACTGAATGAACATTTCCAACAGCTTATCTTTCAAGATTTTTCTTGGTCTCATCAGTATCAAGAAGCATCCTAAATCAGCCTCTGAATTGAATAATAATCAAGGCATTTATTGTGTATGAAAGGGAGTGGGTGTGTATGATAATCAGGGGCTATAACTCTGCAAAATGATGAATCGAAAGCTGACATTCATACCTGTCCAAGAGCTCATCAATACAAGAAGTATACAAAATCTTGTTTAACTAAATAGTAATGAAGAGATTTATTTTGTGGGAAAGAAACAACCAGATCACTATTTGACATTATGTATTCTATCACATCAATAAGTTTCTTTATTACCCTCAGTGCAAGCCAGCTAGTGACATTGACCTTGACCTAATGACCCCAAATTGTTAAGCTTCTACCTTATTCCTTATGCAATCCACAAAGTTTGGTTTAAAAGCATGATGCAGAACTAATCTTTTTGTACAGGAACCACTTTTCTTCTTTCAAACCCAAAACTGATAGGCTTCTTTCCTGTCCTAAATGAAAGCAATTTACAAAGTTTGTTAACAGAAGATGATGGAGCAGTCAAGTCATTAGATGCAAAAACAATAAGAAACAAATGGATGGGCATCACAACATCAAAAACTCAACCTTATGATATACAAATAATTATCATCAATTGTGTTGGAGCCATTCTCTTAAGTGTGGGAATATGTAATTCTCTTAAATGACTCAAGATTTTTAAGCAAGCATATATACAAAAATCCAATGACTTTGCTGCAATGCTACCCATCTCTGGAAGCATTAGCTTGGCATTGTTCAGGTTCAGGAGACGTATTTGCTACAATAAGCCTCTGTTAAGGAAAAGCTTAGATTGAAAGTTCTTAGAGTTTTGTTTTATTGCATGCTACGTTAATGTGAAAGATCAATCTGGAATTATTTATCATGCTGCAATTTTCAATTTTTAAATTGAAATTCTCCAAGGATTCAAACTTCCTTTAAGAAGTGCAAAAAAAAATAAATTTTATTGTAACAATGGCTTTAATAATTTATGAATCAAGAATTACAGCTTTGTTCTGGAAGATTTCAATACACAAAAGGCAAGACCAGTAACATTGACCAATATCAAATTACAGCAACATTAAGACCGTGAGGGAAATTTAAATAAATGAAATATTATGACGATTTTAGCATTTTCATTAGAAAAGGTGTAATAACTCAGTATCAAAACTTGATGGTGAATTAATTAATTAAACAATAAAGATTCCTGCAGGTGAACATTTTGGCACCAAAATGATCAGATAATCAATTATCAACTTTCTGTGATTTCTACCAGACTGGTTTGGCTGACAATGAAATCAATTTGTGCAAGACTTTAGACTGGTACACTGACAATCAAACACTTCCTGAAGTCTTCTCCATTCACCATGATTGAGGTTTGTGGGTATCAGTTAAATGCAAAATATTACACAATACATGCACTACTAAGAGATTATAAATAGATGAATAATGGTCCTTTAAATATATTTTTGAATACAGTAAAAAACAAATTACATGGATACATAATGTCCTAACTTTCTGGACAAAATGAATAAATTATTTTTTTATAACTTAAGTTAACCAACAACATAGTTATAAATTCTTCTAAATTCTGGCATAATCTAGAAAGCTTAAATCTGCAAACTAGATGGATCTCAACAGATGTGTCAACATTCTCCCAAAAATATCTCTTTAAATATCATATTGCAAGTGCTGCATTTAAAATTAGAGACTCAAGATTAGAACTGGGAAAAATATCTATAATAAATTATTTTATGTTCTAAAGAACATATAACATATACATTTGATTCATTTTGAATTGAACAATATGGAAGGCATGAAAGGAAATTAAACTAAAAATTAAATATGGGGTTAACATCTAATATTATCTGAAAAGGTAAACAAAAAATACTATATACACAGTAAAACAAATAATGAAAGACCACTGTTGAATGAGACCACCTGTTTTGAAAGACCACTGTTATGTGAGACCACCTGTCTTGGAAGAGCTTATTCTAAATGCACAGATTTATGAATGATATAATGTTCACCTCTGTGTGTGTGTGTGATGTGATTATGTAATGTGATTGATTTTTAACATAGCTTTAAAAAATTTTCAGTCATATCTCTATATGTCTACAGTGTGGCAGTTTATAGTGATGTCTAGCACTGGGTCATCATGCCACAAACATGTAGCACAATGTCCCACCCAGTCACATTATCCTGACACCAGGATGACCAGCCCTAAAGCATCAAGCGAGGCAGCTGTTAGTACCATTTTTGTAAGTCTTTGGTAACTCGACCAGGGATCAAACCCACGACCTCCCGCATCCGAGGCGGACGTTCTAACCACTAGGCCACTGGAGCGGTGTGTGTGTGTGTATGTGTGTGTGTGTGTGTATGTGAGAGAGTTGGATTTTTAATGTAGCTTTAAAAAATGTTCAGTTATATCGATACAATGTTTACAGTGACAGATTATAGTGATGTCTAGCACTGAGGCATCATGCTGCAGACATGTAGCATCATGTCCCACCCAGTCACATTATCATGACACCAGGCCAACCAGTCCTAACACTGGCATCTTAATGATGAGCGCCAAGCCAGGCAGCTTTTAGTACCAATTTAATAGCTTTGGTATGACTGGGCTAGGGTTTGAATTAAGAGAGACCACCTGTCTTGAGAGACCAAAATTTTTTGGCAGAAGGGGTGGTCTATCAAGACAAGTTCTACTATTACTGCTTGTAAATTGAGTCCAACTGCAAAAAAAGCACAGATCTGGGATTTTATTAGTCTTCAGCCGAAAAAACAACAGGGACCCTGATCTTCCAGCACTATATTTTATGTTGTTTGCAGTTGAACTTGACTCATAAACAAGTCTGTACAGTACCCATACTGTTATAGGCCATAGTTGTCTTGTTTCTTGAAAATACCCAACTTAAAGACCCTATTCAGCAATAAGCCTTCCCCAAATTTTCTATAGATCTTATTCAATTTCTTTTAATAACTATATCAAACAAGCCTATCTTTTCACCAAATATATAAATCCCTTAACTTGTGTAATTGAAAAATACTGTATTCGTCAGAGAATTATTTCATAAATGACACTGTTAAAATTGTTTAGGAATATTGGATTGGCTGACAATGGAATCATCTTGTGCTTGGCTTTTAATTGGTGCCTGAAAAAATGAAACATTTTCTGAAGATTTCAAAAATTACTGTGATTCATGTTTGTATGTATTATGTAATACAGTAAAATCCTGTCTTAAAAGACCACTATCATGAGAGACCTCCTATCTTGTGAGATTACATTCTCAATGCACACTGGTTTTTTAGCTTTGTGACTTTCAGGATAGCCACCATGGTGTCTATAATGGCTGTCATTTGTTTCATTTAGGACCCACTTAATTCCATAAAAATTGTTCTGTGCAAAAATGATTTTCTGTGTCAGAGCAGTAGTGACAAGATTTTCAAAGACGGCTTCTATGACAGTCATGCTGAATGTCAAATCACTAAAAATTTCATATTACTATATATCATAACTAGTGTTAAATTGGTAATAATCCAATATCAATATGACCATCTATACAGGAAGAGTAGTGATAACAAGATATCAAAAATTTCCACATAAGAATCAATTTTGGATGCCACATTTTTTACCATTTTCATTTTAAAATCAACTAGGCATGATAAAAAATGTTTTAGTGAAGACCCCATACTGATATGATTATTCGTTCAGTAGGAGTATTTAGAATAAGATTTGCAAGATGGCCCCCATGGCTGCCATATTGGATATCAGATCAGCACCATTTCATTTAGGAACAACCAGACATCATATGAAGTCTTTTTATATGACTCCTATGTCAATATAACCATTCATTTATGATAAATAGTAAACAAATTCTCAAAATGGCTTAGATGGGGTAGTGTTAATAAATTGTAGGAAGTATCTGTCAATTGATGGACAGAAGTTAAGCTTTTATAGTTTATGGTCAATAGAGATAAAATAGTTACCAACAAAGTAAAATTTAAACTTTTTAACTGGTGGTATAAATAACACATTATATAAATCCTTCTTAATTAAGAAGGTTTAAATGGATAACTGGATGGAATTGTTCTTAATATCTTAAACCTTTGAGTTTCTTCAAACATCCTGGATATTATTTCATTGCAAGTACATGTACAATGCTTTCAGAATTGAAGACACAAGATCAAAACTAAAGAAAAATTCTTAAGGATAATTTCTTGATAAAGCACATAATCTCTCAGTCAATCACAATGATTTTTTTGATAAAGCACACAAACACTCAACTGATCATAATGAATTCTTGATAAAATACAGAACTTCCTTGATCGCACTGTTTTCTTGCAAAAGCATAAACCTTTCAACTGAACAAGATTTCTTGATAATGTACAGGATAAATTTTGAATGTCCACAAAATTTAAAACTGCTGAAAAATTAAAAAATTACAAAAATGGCATGAAAATCTAAGTAGTTGGGTGATTATATATATATATATATATATATATATATATATATATATATATATATATATATATATAAATACAAACAATACTATCATACAGGTTAGAGAAATTAAATTCTTACTCTCCCGAGTTTCGAACCCAGGTCCACAGTAAATTGCACCCATCACCTTGCCTGCACACACCAGCCCATATACTGTCACGCCTAAGCACCATCACCAAAAAAATTATGGCACTGAATCATTGTTATATAAGCTCATGCGTAGCAGACACACTTGCATGATGAGCTAGTAAATAATTCTCATATATATACACAGTCATTCCAGATTCCTATGAAAGAAATCAAGGTATATAGGATTTTTGTATTACAAAGAAATATAAATATATACCAGACAGAACAGACAGTGCTATCCTTGTAGTAGAATACTGATAATAGTGGGCAAAAATAATATATATATATATATATATATATATATATATATATATATATATATATATATATATATATATATATATATATAGGTACAGAGACTAATGTGAGTTTGCCATCTTCAAGTTTGTTTGTTTCACTGAATCATGCAACCAAGGTTTCCATTAAAGAAATGATATAAGTCAAAGAGACTGCTGCTCTGCTGAGTGAAAAGAATTTCCAGGAATTTGCAATTAGTCCATTTCTTCCATTCAACAGGTGAGTGTTGAAACCTTCTCTGATATTCTTTAGCTTAAGCATGATTTTCAAATTAGCTGCTGTGGTGAACATATTGGATGTCAGACTGGCACCATTTTCATTTAACATATTGGATGTCAGACTGGCAATGTTTTCATTTAAGGCCAAGTAGACATCATTGTGGAAACCTGATGTCAATATGAAATTCCATTCATGAGGAATAGTGACAGTAATGTTTTCCAAACAGCTACCATGGCAGCTATACTGGATGTACAACAGGCACCATTTTTTTTTGACCAACTAGGTATCATGAGAAGTCTACTAGTAAAAACCCATGTTGATATAGTCATGGAACAAGCCAGGGTAAACAATATTTTCAAGTTAAATTTGTTTACAACAGCTGGGTTAGTTTAGGAACAAAATAGCACCCTGTCATTGCAGACTCAGCAAAAAGGGACAAAATATACATTAAAAATGTTTCCACATCTAGACAGAACCTATAATGTTTGCCTTGCACAGACAAATTTCCTGTACACTTGGAAATTAGGTAACAATAGATGGGTTAGATTTTAACTACTGAATTTAGCAATATAGGTAATTCAAGACCATATATATCAGGACTTCATGCAATGAAGTCAAAATGGCAATGTGCCAATAAAACTTACTTTATATGTCATGAGATATTAGACAGATATTCTTGAATTGTATTAGATTTCGGAAAACAAGAATCATTCACAAGCAGGAATGTCAGAAAGAGATATTCTCCATTATTGTTTTACATGAGAAAACAAAAATCGTACAAATGTGAAAGAAATATTATCCATCCCTGTTATACACTGGAAAACAAAAATGCAAGTAGGATCATGAGGTGTGTGTGTGTCTATCTATCTATCTATCTATCTATCTATCTATCTATCTATATATATATATATATATATATATATATATATATATATATATATATATATATATATATATATATATATATATAAGTGCATCAGTGAAGAAAATAGAATCTAAAATGAACATAACTGAACTTGAAAATAATACTATAAGTACTTGCTTTTAAGTTGACTGCAAACTGCACAGCAATGCAACTGCCTAATGGGCTAGCGGATCTGGGTCTGTGCAGTCTGTTAGGAGTAGTCAGTAGTCTGGTTTGCAGATGCTTTATGCTATGGCAGATCAGGATTATTGTTGTTTTAAGTCTGACTCAACTTACAAGTAAATACAGTACTCCAGAGCCACAGTACTGCAACCAATATTCTGGATTCTTTGCTTTATAATTGGTAGGTCTATAAAACATTTTCCACCCAGGACAATCTGTTAAATGGTTGGAAAAGAATGGAAATACGACAAATCAGGCATACAGTGCACCAAAATAAAATAATATCAGCTGAACAGAGTATTGGAACTTACATTTTATTGGAAAAAATTATTCCAGGTGAGTACGCAGGTTCTGATACTGTGACAGCAAAACATGTTCCAGGCATAGTTGTAGAGCTTAGAAAATGGCAACCAGTCTACCATTAGTCATGTCATAAAATAGCTACAGAAAAGCCCTAATAAAAACATAGCTGTCGGAATTTATCTGACTCTGCTGGATACTTTCTACTCCAATGCAATAACTATGTACAAGGTGATGCAGTTGCTTCTTCTAGGCATGTGTTTAAGCATTCCAGGCCATTAAGACATGGTCATAATTTATTTTCCCATTTACATGTTATAGTTCTGACACTTCTTGAGCATGAAATATTTCCAAGGAAAGAACATGAAAAACTCCAAAACAAAACTGCAGTGCTGACAACCTCAAGCAATCAATGCATGATCACCTCATTAATATGCCATGACCTTGCTGATACTGGTAACTATATGTATGACCTTGCTTATAATTTTAATTACACCTATCCATGACCTTGGTAATACTGGTAACTATATGTATGACCTTGCTCATACTGGTAACAGTACCTATCCATGACTTTACTCATACTAGTAATTGTACCTGTCATGACCTTACTCATACTGGTAACTGTACCTATCTGTGACCTTGCTCATACTGTTAATTGTACCTATCTATGACCTTACTCATACTAGTAATTGTACCTGTCATGACCTTACTCATACTGGTAACTGTACCTATCTGTGACCTTGCTCATACTGTTAACTGTACCTATCTATGACCTTACTCATACTAGTAATTGTACCTGTCATAACCTTG